CTTTTATTCCTTAAGCTAAAATTAACAGAATACGAAAATTGTAAAGAATTCTGACTTTTGATACGATATGAAACGATGAATTCTCCTTACATTGCAGTTGTCTGCAGCTTCTGTAGCTTCTAAAACGTTTGATAGCTCTTATTCTAGGATATCATCCCAGAGGACATCATAAATAGGCATTTCTTCATTCATTGTTCTTGAAAATGAATGATAACAACAACAAATGCAAACGACGGGAAAAAAGAAATTTTTGACGCACGCGAGCGTGTTTTGATACTGTAATCAAACATGGTTTTCGACCAATCACAGCGCGCATAGTATCCTAAATATTTTAGAAAATGAGCTATTGCAAATTTCAGATTGGCGACTCTCTCTTTGACACAAAAGGTGCTGAAATTGTACAAAAACTGGTTGACAAAGCTAAAGAAAAAGGGGTGAAGCTTTGCTTTCCTGTTGACTTTGTAACTGCAAGCAAATTTGCAGAGGACGCAGAGGTACGATTGGATAAAATACATAACTTAATTGGAATGGAATGAGAAGATTTGCATTATTGTCAATAGTAAATTTACTTTTAATTTTTATGTGTTCTCAGGTTGGAAGTGCTACTGTTGAATCTGGGATACCTAAAGGATGGATGGTAAATATTTGTGTGTTTTTTTTCTTTTAAGAATTAATCACCGACTTAAGAAAGAAATTAGATTTTATATTGATTTTAAATGTGTTTATTCAAATAGGGTCTTGACTGTGGACCTAAGAGYGTCGCTGAATTCAAAGAGGTTATTGCAAGAGCAAAGACTATTGTCTGGAATGGGTATGTTTCCTAGACCCCTTGCATGTAAAGTCAAAGTTGCTTCATCCATAAACKCACCTGAACACMTGAATATCATCCATCTCCTTGGAGAATTAGAAGTGACATGACCAAGAGGATAGGAGACAGCTGATATTCAGGCTATCCATRTTAAAATATCATTGTTTTGTTCCTCCAGATGGAACTGTTTAGTGTTGTAAAAAGYCATGGATTCAAGGTTTCTCTAAAGTTAATGTTTGTATATTGTAGGCCAGTTGGTGTGTTTGAGTTTGCTAAGTTTGAAGCTGGAACAAAGGCTGTTATGGATGCTGTAGTAGAAGCAACTAGCAAAGGAGCSACTTCAATCATAGGTATACAATCATAGGCCAAGTATACACCCTTTTAATAAGTCTCAAGGTATTGTGTTCTCCGCACTTGACGTCAAATTTATTCTTTTGAATTCCTTTTGTATTGTAAAAATTTCAAAAGAATAAATTTGACATCAAGTGCGGAGAACACAATACCTCGGGACTTATTAAAAGGGTGCATAAGCAACAAATTATCCAAACTTCTCTTCTAGTATAAAATTCTTTGCATTACATTCATATTTGTTTTGATTGACAGGTGGAGGTGATACTGCAACCTGTTGTGCTAAGTGGGGCACTGAAGACAAAGTCAGCCATGTYAGTACAGGTGGTGGTGCAAGCCTTGAACTCCTTGAAGGTAAACATGTTAGTCMCTCCATGCAACAAGATGGTGTAGGAAAGTTAATAAATGAATGACTTTTTATAGGTAAAACTCTTCCTGGCGTGGCAGCTTTGTCACCTCAAAGTAGCATATAAAAAGCAAAACCCACGGGCTTCACATGGGGGTGAAAGAACAAGAACTGACTTTGAGTTTGACAGTGGTTATTAGTGGACACTATAAAATTATGATTYTGATATTGATTGAATATGTCGATTGAAGTATAATATTACTGATGATAAAAGAAGTAGCAATAAACAGGAACTGTAAAATTCTAATAAGATTTATAAAAGATAGCCTCATAGGTTCTCAGAAAGGTTTTAAGTASGTTCTAAGAAAAYATACAGATATGTATGAAAACCAATGGAAATAAAAATATGGATCTCTCATTGGAATATTTTGATTTATTACTGTTATTAATAAAAGTGTTATATGTCTTTTTGCATTTCTGAAAATGTTTGCATAAAGACAAATAAATGCAAAAACTACCATGTTTTCTTTTGTTTACATTTTCACACAGTCATGAGTATACATATTTACATGTCTAAAGTAAGAAATTTTCTTTTCAAGTCAAGGTGACAAGACCCAAAAACCCTATGATATGAGGCATTAGTGAGCCTCTATGAAGAAACTTGGTTTTTCAGCTTATTGCATCCACCTCCAACACCTCATTTTTTTTTCCTGTCTCTGGACCCATAAATTGAGGGAGCATAGATGGCAACCATACATTCATGACAACTATATGTCTGGTTCTTCAAGTTCTTGTTGAGCAGTTCGTTTGTTATTTTTCAACAAGTCRGCAGTGGACAATAAATATGATAGACTGTAAGAATTGCTTGAACACCTGTCAATAAAACATGACATAATAAATATACAATGCCTTTCAAAGCTATGTATGTGGACTGTCATGTATGTGACATTATAACCATAAACCCACAGTATGTATTGTTTTTTTATGGCTGCTTTTAATGAAAACTCTGATTGTCATGATTTAAAGMAAAGCAATCATTGTAAATATTTAATAAAGCAGAGTCAGGTTAGCATTGTTAGTGGTCAATTTAATGTCATTAGTCTGAGCCATAATGACTCCCATTGTGTAAATTTGAAGGGCAGTGTAAAATATGAGTGCCAAACACTTTTTAATATTGCAGGACCAGGTTGTTCAAAGCTCTATTAGTCAGAATTAATCCTAGGTTAACTCTTAACAARCCTATGCAGTTAACCCTTGATTAGCACTATTTGGACTTTGAACAACCAAGGCCAGGACTATTAACTTTTTAAAGACAGCATAATTATAAGGTGTATTTTTTCACTATTCATTAAAAGTTTTTTACCACAGACACGGTCAGCAATATTATCAATAAAATCCCAAAGACTTCATAAGGGGGCTCTTCGCTTCTTTATTTAAGAAAATTCAAAATGTCGGAAATATTATTGGGGAGGCTATAGCCCCCCAGCCCCCCCTGCTCCGCGGTCCCTGACTAAAGGTAGTATTTGTTGTTTCTACTTACAGTTTTCCTAAATCTTCCTGATGTTTTGTCATGTTCTTCTGCAGTGTTCTCAAAATATGCATGATTTGTCCAGACCTTTGTTTTATTGAATGTCCATGAACAGCAAATAGTTCCTTACACCACAAYAAATAAAACTCAAGATGTCGAGATGATTCCAGTTCACCAGCCACAAACCATAACATCTTGTCAACATATACATCTGATAAGGACTGTGCAACTAACAGTACTGAAATACCATACAACAGATATCAATAAGCATCACATGACAGTGACATAATTGACAGATAGTGGGTGTAGTTCATCTCGGCATATTATAATTAAAACAATACAATTATGTTWGGTGGAATTATGATTAAAATGTTATTCAGTGGTAGATCCAGCTACATACAGCATGAAGCCCTCATGATTCCTTGTACCCACAGTGACTATGTTGACTTTTCCATAAATGTCCATTCATGCAATACTCATGCAATTYATGTGCTGCACTTACTGTCAGCTGTCTTGATATTCTCCACAACYTCTCGTATAATTTCTTGTTCATTTAATCTGAAGCTCAGTACCAGGGCCCTACTAAACTCTCCCTTTGCCAACACTTTTCTTATGTTATCTGGTGTAACATCAGTATCCAAGTCAAAGGGATCAAA